AGAAGAAAACAGTTAGAAAGCAGAAAACAGCTCACACAGGTTCATTTGGCTGCACAAAACTTATGGATTCTACAAATTAAAACACTTTTGAGCTAAGAAAAAAGTGGTCGTCACCACATTGGTCATTTTTCTGAATCAGTTCATGGGTTTCACTGAAATACAGGCGCAGTTGGTTGTGTGAGCGAAAAACGTCGCGGACGATCCGCTTCTTCCATTGAGCTGAAAAATTAATCTTAAAATATTCTGACTACATTTCCTCTTCCGATTTATAAAATGTCAAAATTCGCTGCAAGAAGATCCAAGGGTTAGCGTACACTGAAAACAAAAGCTATACGAAGTATCTTTAGAACCGCAGACAAACGATGTGGATAATTTCCTGGCTTTGTTTATCTGCCCCAAGTAAGCACTCACCAAGTTGGCCAGTTAAAGGCTGTGTGCCAACGAGCTGGCGGATATTTCACAGGAAAGTTGATGCCCTCTAGATCTTGCACAGGGAGAACTGTACCCGCCTTTCTAACACCAAGAAAACCAGTTCAGTCGATGTGAACTCCGACGACTAAAATACTCTTACACGACAGGCACGTCAGAAGAGATGATTTAAGGATGCAAAATATTGTCAGTGACAAAATGTAGAAGATACTAAATGAATGATAAAGCAAGGATGCTTTGCGTTTCTCTTCACAACCAAATAAACAATCAAACGTTCTATGGACAATTCGTGAGCACGATATTCCATTCTGACACGAAGTGAGATATGCTACACACAACTTGTTTCGCTGACAGAAAACAGCCATCGAATATCATTCACTTTCTCCTATCAGTGGTACTGGAGACAACACCAGATTGGCTGTGTGGCAACAGGCAGTGAAAACCGCTGTTGTGAACGGAGTAAGGTGAACAATTGAGCGGGGAAAGCACCCCCACATGATCTGCCTACATAAGGCATATCGGACCAGTGACACAGGACCGTTGCTTCAGAATCGTCAGCGATGTATAAACGTTGTACAGGGATTGTCAG